TTTTGTTTGTAACCTTTTTGTTGGGAGGGGAGGGGTTCTGCTCTAGGACGCATGCGCTCGCCAGAAGGACAGAGAGACAGAAAGCAAAAAAATCACCCTCCCCAGGGGAGATGGCCACACCACAATCCCTTCTCCATTCTCCTCTCGGGATCTTGGGCACGTACACACACGCGTCCCGCGTGAGTTTATGCCACTATGTCTGGGACTCGAGCTGGTCAGCTACATGGGAGTCCAGCAACATAGCCATTACACCAACTGCTGCTCCCTGTTTGTAACTTTTTGGTTCCCTGTTTGTAACTTTTTGGTGCTCTCCATTTTGAGTCTGCCATCTGTTATATGTGCAGTCTTCTAGCTTTTGTTCCAAATACACATTTGGAAAGCATGACTTTTGTGTTGATACCATTGAATAAAAAACTGGGGCAAGCCAGTGGCTTGGAGGTTAAGGCACTGGTCTCCCACATAGCAGGCATCGGTTCGAGTTCCAGACCCAGCAGCTGGAAAATTGCTCTAGGTGCATGTGTGTGAGCGCCCAAAATCTTGAGAGGAGAAAGGAGTAGGAGGGACTGTGAACATCTCCCCTACGGGTGATTTCTCACTTCCCCTCTCTCTGGTGAACGTAGGCGCCATATGGCAAATACTCCACCACCACCACCCAAAAAAACTGAAAATTACCAAGCTTCATGTTTTTTATCTGACAGTGGCTTGGTAAGAAGACATGCTATTATAGATTCTATAAGCTTTAGTTATGTTATTATTAAAACAATTACTTAACATTGTTTCTAAATTTGCTGTTTTTAACTCTCAGAACTTTAGTCATTTGAAATGTAAAATATTTTACCTGCCTCATTAATTTATAGAACGATCAAATGTAATATGGAGTCTTTGGAAAAGTTACAACATATTTTTGCATAGAAAATATGTCATGACTTTTCTGACCATCCAGTAATATTAATATATGTGAAAGCAGCTTTTAAAATGTTAAGACATTATATAAATTCAAGATCCTGAAGTTGTTATTGTTATCAGTGATATCGTGGGGATCTCTGTTGTTAAGTGGAATAGTTCATTTCTGAAATTTTGTGACTTGTTTAAAACCACTGATTTCCTATGGTTTGACCGCTTTAGTTCATGAGAATGTATTCACATACAGTCTGGTTTTCCTAGAGTTTACTAATTTGATTTGTCAAGGGGGCAGGGCCAGGAGAAGTACTTTCAGGGTTATAATCCAATTCATGTGCTTGAAATACATCCATTATAGCTGTATTTTGTTGCATAGGACTTTGTTTTTTGCCATTTAAATTGTGGGCCTGTGAAATTTTATTAGCTCCTTTGAAAAAAAAAATCTGCATCAGCACTTTAATTGTGTTTGTTCTGCTAAATTACCTTGACTTTAATTGAAGGCAGTTTATTATAATTTTAGTATCAGTATCATAGAAAGTCATGGAAATATTTAATGATGGTGTAGTTTGAACCCTCTCTGACGAGCAGGAAATTATCTTGTCTGCCTGATTTTTAATAGATGACATTCACCCTCTAGATGTATGAGACTCTCAACTGAAAGCTCAAATAGAAGTCAAATTCAGACTTAAAATAATCATCTTCTACTTTATGCACATCCTAGCACACCGTGGAATTGTGGAATGTATTAAATCAGTCCTTACACAAGCTACTTTTCCCCCCTTCTGATTATGAAGATCTTAATTTAACTCTTTCCTGTATAAATTATTTTCATCCTTTAGTTTCCACAATAACAAGTGATTTCAGCATATCCAGTAAAAAATATATATATATATATGAAAACCACACAGAAAACAAGCACTATCATCAAAATACTTGATTCCTCATTACTGGCTCCTGAAATTATGTAATAGCTCATTTATCCTATGTATAATAGGAATTCTAATAAGTGAAATGGAAATATTTATGTCCAGGAGCCTGCACCAAGGCTGGGTTATATGGCTCCTGGCTGGAGACATCAGCTCTTTGGATTAGCTCATGGGGTGATAGCTACTAGGTCATCAGGAAAGTCACGACACATTTTTGCATAGAAAAATATGTTATGATTTTTCCAGCGACCTAATATTACAGTGAGCATCCTTTGTACGTCATACTACACAGCCGTAGGATAAATCCCTAGAAGTTGAACTGCTGGCCAACAAGTAAGGACATTACTTACCTTGTAGACATCTCCTAATTACCCAGCGGAAGACGAACGATTTACAGTCCCGTCAGCAGTGTTTAACCACATAGAAATTTTATTTTTCCAGTGACATTTATGCTGAATCCCTCCCAGAATTTAGATACCTAGTAAACCAGTCTGATGCTTCTTAATGAGTGTGAAAAGAGGGCCAAGGGACAAGATTTGAGGGGTTTGTAGACAAGGCCCCTTCTTCACCAGATTCTACTCACGTATCTCATGTCTCTTTTTGTACCATGTTTGATAAAAATCAATAAAATCAAATCTCTCTTTTCAAGACCCCATACTGATAGTCCTCTTCTGGTATGTTCTTAGCTTTATACTTTAGTTCTTTTACCACATATAGTTATTGCATTATATATAGATAATGAATATTTTTCAGTTATATTTTAATTGTTGCTTGATTATAAGTTACATGTAAGGGTGTATTTCCTTTAGAAGTAAAAACATAGGAACGATTATTTCTAAATGTGTTTCCTCTAAACAGCTAATTCCTCTAGTAGTTGTAAGTCCTTACCCAGAAGATGCTGGTCTTTAAAAGCCTGATTTTTCCTGTCATTTATTTTAATATTTTCTTGTTTTAAACTCCAAGGCTCATTTCTGTTTGGGTCAGAGGAGCTCTCTGCTCTGATTACCACTGATCAATAAAGTATTATAAGTGTTTGGAAAGAGAGTGCTGTATAGAAACTATCAGTAATATTCCATCCCTAGATTTTCTAATGTACCACTAATGCGTCATGTTTAAGTGGAATGTGTTGATTGATTTACATGCTCTATGTCTCACAAATGTAGAGTAAGTATGAGGTGTTAGATTGTGTTTTGTTTTTAATAATCTCTCGGAAACTACATCATGTTTTAAATGGTATTAGTTGTAGATATCACATGCTTTCCATCCATGTATTTGGTGAATGATTTGGTCACAATGTTAGCCAGTGGTATGTTCTTTATTAACTGAATCATTCTCTGGTTATTTTCACATCTGTCCTTTACTTAAAGAAAAAGTCAAAGTATTAATTACTTGTATTATTAGAATATGTTAAATATTTTATAATTCTTAAAATGTGTAATTGGAGGAGAAAGTAGTAGTGGAGGTTAAATTATAAAAATTCTATTAGAAATCAGTGGATTCTATTTTTCTTTTTATTCCTTTGACAGTGCCACACACTGTTAACGATTGCAATCAGTTACAATTACGTTCTGGTAATTTGATATGTTCTCCGAATCTTGAATAGCACATAACAGATTTAGTATAATCTTCTCTGCAGTTCTACACTGAATTTTTTTAGTAACAAATGTTTTTATTAAAAATATTTTTCTTATTACCTTAAACTTAGAATAAATTCTGCTCAGAGCCCAGCAGATGGTGTAGTAGTTACATTGCTGGACTCCCACACAGCTGACCGCAGTTCAAGTCCCAGACCTTGTGGCTAGAAGCTCATGCCGGGTGCCTGTGCATGCCTGCCGAGGATCCCAGGAGGAGAATGGAGGAGAAGGGATTGCAGCGTGGCCATCCCCCTAGGGGGAGAGGGGGTGATTTTTCACTTTTCCTCTTGCTGTCTCCATCTCTGTCTCTCTACAGCAAACACACCCACCCTACAGCAAAAACCTCTACAAAATAAAAAAAAAAAAAAAAAGGAAGAAACAAAAAGGATAAATTCTACTCATGATCAGTGGGTAATACTTATTAGGATATAAAGACATGTTTTAGGTTTCTAAATAGAGGATTTTGTCCTCATTCCTCCTGTTACCACCTTCACATTAGGATGAATGAAGGTTTGCAGGCACATGGTAGTATGATAAAGCTATTTGGAATGAGATCTGTTCCCCTAAATGTTTCTATAAGAATAGCATCCTTGGGGTTAGCAGGTGGCATGTTGATTAGGCCCTGGACTCCCACATAGCAAAACGCAGTGTGAGTCCTGGACATTGTGTGCTCTAACCCTCCGGCATGAAAATCACACCAGGCACATGTGCGTGCGTGCCCAAAATCCCAAGAGAAGAGAGGAGAAGGGGTTGTGGTGTGACCATCCTCCCTGGGGTGATTTCTTGCCTTCCCTCTCCTTATCTCTGCAGTGAACACATGTGCCCTATGGCAAAAACCTCAAAAAAGAAAAGAAAAGAATTGTGTGTTTATTTAACAGATTTTATTTCAGGATAGTGTTATTATGCTTCTTATGGTCTAGTCTGGGATCCTAACCACTATCCACTGTATATTTCTTAGTGAATTTTTTCTGTGTTCCATAAAAGTTACTTAAAAAGAAAGCTATTGATTGACACAAAACTCATTCCAAAACTGAAAACTAATTCTAAGTGTTTCTCCGGAAGTTCATACTGAATATCTGTTTTGTATTTGCTAGCTATTAACCAATCTCTTTAAGCATATTTTTTAGTAATATTTCATATTTATCACACTTTTTCTTTAAAATTATAAAATGAGTCTAGATTTCAAGTTAAATTGTTATATTTTATCTATCCCTTTATTTGCTAAGAGTGTGACAACAGAGGGAAGCAATCTCTTTTCTTCTATCATCATGGTAAATTGTTTTGTGCATTGGCATAATCCACCAGAAAGATAAAGCAGATAAACAGCTAACTTGCAGCAGCAAACCTTTTTCATATCAACTCCAGGAACCCTAAGCAAAGAGTTGACAGATGTGTGGTGCTTTGTGAAACTTCCTCAACTCCCATTGAAGAGAGAAGGAATTCCAGAGTTGGTACTTAGGAAAGAGAATACCCAGAAGATTTGTACAATATGACTCACTGTTGCTACCATGAAACTAAAATGTTTGTATTTTTATTTTAGTGACATTGTACGCCTCCTGTATTCTCCTGGGAGTGTTCTTGAATAGCAGCGTACCCATATTTTTTGAACTCTTTGTGGAAACTGTCTACCCAGTTCCAGAAGGAATTACTTGTGGAGTTGTCACTTTTTTAAGTAATATATTCATGGGAGTACTTTTATTTTTCCTCACATTTTATCATACAGGTAAGAAATTTAATTTTTTTATTTACTATCTCAATGTATTTCAAGAGAGGTTTGTGGCACTGCTGTATAGGGAATGTATACAGAGAGTTCTCAGTAAGGCAGATTACTTTATGTGAGCTTTAACATGCCACAAAAAGAAAATGTCCTCAATTATTTTTCTGGAAGTACATTCTAGCTCCAGTACACCCTCACCCCGGAGAGTTTCTGAATTAATTAGCCTGGGCTGGAGCCCAGCAGCTGTACTCTGTAAAAGCCCTCCTCCCGCCCTCTTGCCAGGTGGCTCTACTGGGCAGGTCCTCACTGAGCACCATTGACCTATTGCTTTTTCAAAAAAAATGTAGACTACCATTTTAACACAGGGTGTAAATTGATGTCAGGGTATATGTGGAGTATAAGGCCTTAGGAATGAATGAGAGGTCACCTGATGTAAATGCTAGATTATTTCTAGGAAGCTTTATGACAGGTTTATAATTGGAATAATAACTGTGCTAACCTCCTTGACTAGAAAATCAATTTTTAAAACTTTCAAGGCCAGTGAAACAGAATCATCCCTGGATTTTGAACAACTTCTGGCATAACACTTCCACCTAAACAGCAATAAGTGTTCTAATGATAAATGAACTTATTAACATTATTAACAACAAACTAGATCATTTCTATCAGCCAGTAACAAAGGCAAAGTAGGTTTTAACTTTGCTAACCCTGAGCTGGGTTGATTTACCATATGAAGGAGGAGTGGTATTAATGAAAGGCCACTCTTCACTTTTCTCCCGGGAACTTGTGTTCCCATTGGGGAGCCGCGCCATCAGTAGGAGTTAAACAAGATCTTCACTCCTGAGAAGTTCCCAGACAGATTCGTTTGGCAATTACTACATACGTATCAGGCTTAATCCATGAAACTGAAGGCTTATCGTCCCCTTTTGCCTGGTAAAGTGTCAGGGTAGCTGTGGTTCCCCCTGGGATGATAGGAACGGTTTTCCAGCTGAGCTCAGGCTTCCTCAGTGGTCCATTCACCCTCGCAGTGTGGTTTTCCTGTCAGCTAGACATAGCAGAAGATGCTAGGTGATGTATTCCCCAATAAATCGCTGGCTTGTGATCTCCAGTATATAGCAGACATGCTTTATTGATCATTTTAAGGCTGGGAAGAAACCAGTAACAGTAGCCACCCTAAACGCAGGCCACTGTGGCTGGCCATTTGTCCTCTGAGATTGGCGTCCGACATGAATTAACTAGAAGTGCTATCAGTCAGTGCCTCGTCCTCATCTTGCAAATTCATCATGACCAGATACACAGATGTTTTTGTCCTCCTGGCATAGGCAGCAGAAGGAACACTTAGCGTCACTTCTGCTCATTCCTCCCTCATTCATATAATCAAGGATTTCTGTAACTGGGGGAAAGAAGCTTCCTTCAGTTTGCATGGTTTCTGATCACATGTTAACATTCTGTATAGACATTTAAAAGTTTCTGCCTAAACTCTGTAACTATTGTGGGAAAAGAAATAAAATTTTAAATAATAATTTATTTTAATCCACCAAGATATAATTGTTTATTTTAATCCACTAAGATGATCTTCGGGGAGGGGGGGATGTCTCAGTAAATTCTGGCATTTCGGGTAAGTTAATGAGGAGATGCACGTGAAAGCTGAGTCCAGGGCAGAGCTGACACTCACCAAATGTTTGCTTCCTCCTCAGTGCTTAGCTCATGATGCTTGGAATTTAAATAGCTAAGCTTCTCTTTTAAAGAAACACCTTCATGTGTTTACTTGTGAGTGTGTGTGGTGAATACACACAAACATGCCCCACACTGCTCTAACGCTAATGTTACCAGTACTGTGAAATCTTTATTGAAGTTCTTTTCACGTATTACCCTTGATCTGGCCTCAACGTCCTGCCACAGAGGTCCACATTCTCTATGGCCTGAGGCATGGTAATCCATAAATTGCAAATAATGAAAATTCTGTAGGACTACTTCCTAGAAGTAACTTGTCATTATGTGCCTAGTTCCCTAAACGTTTTATTTGGTAAATTGACCTCCTTTCCATTAAAGTCCATGTTCAAATGTCATAATTCAGCAATTTGAAACTTAGAAAAACTCACCCAGCAGTTCCTTACATGTCAGAATAGAACCACTACTCACGTGCTTAGACGGCCTGATCTAATCATCATAAGCTCTGTGGTTTTTAGGTCACTTCTCAAGAAGTACTAAACTTCCTGACTTGGGCATTTTCCTCCCTCGATGTGCTGTCTGGTAGGTCACTACATCAGATAGTTTTTAGGGGCTGTACAGGCTAACCCCAAAATGACCATATTTAGAAGGGCCTTGTCGGGCGGGGCTGGCAGGGGGCATGGTGGTTAGGGTGCCAGACTCCCTCCCACATGGTCAACCGCAGTTTGAGTCTCAGACCTGGCAGCTTTCTTTCTCACTTTGCCTCTCTCTCTCTCTCCCTCTCTTTCTCCTTCTCCCTCTCCGTTCTCTCTGGTCAAATTAAAATCAATCATTCAGGGAACCAGCAGTTAGCATAATGGCTATGTCGCTGGACTCCCACGTAGTCGACCGCGGTTTGTGTCCCGGACCCAGTGGCTTAAAACTCACGCCGGGCGCGTGTGCGTGCATACCCAAGATCCCAAGAGGAGAATGGAGGAGAAGGGATTGCGGCGTGACCATCCCCCCTGGGGGGTGATTTCTCGCTTTCTGTCTCTATGTCTCTCTCTGTCTGTCTGGCGAGCGCACGCGCCCTACAGTGAAAATCTCTCAAAAAAAAAAAAATCAATCATTCAATCAATCATTAAAAAAAAAAAAGAAGGCCATCATCCAGCCAGGTAGGTTCGCTGGCGGTTTGCTGGTAGATGAGGGCCATCGTGTCACCAGGGCAGATGTTACTCAGGCTCCTTGTACCACTGCCACTGGCTTGTGTGGGCCCTTCATTTCTGTTTCAGTTCTACTTTGGTACCTGAAACCATGTCAGAGGTGTGTGTGTGTGTGTGTGTGTGTGTGTGTGTGTTTTAAGAATTATTTTATTTAACTTTATTTATCCATTTGTTTATTTATTTTAATTTGACCAGAGAGGGGTAGAATGAGAAAGAGAGAATGTGAGAAAGCAAGCCGCCAGGTCTGGGACTCAAACTGCAATTGGTCATGTGGGAGTCCAGCACCCTTAGCCACCACGCCACCTGCTGACCCCCATGTCAGTGATTCTTAAAGTTACTTGCTCCTTAATATAAGCATATTTGCAAAACCAAGTTGTTTCCTAAAATACTTGCTTTGAAACAGCACAGTGATGCTTTATTCTAATAACCTCGCATATAAAATCAATTTGGGAATGCTGTTATAGTGTTTGCGTGCTCTGAAATATATTCAATTTTATATTCAGAAGATTGCATTATCTGTTATTTTTTGCTCTAGAAGCTTTGCAACAGGTTTTGGCTAAAAGTGTAAAGATTTCTTTTTACCTTAGGCCTTTCGTTTTGACATGGCTGACCATGAATTTGAGGCTGCATTGGGACCCAAAAGATTCAGGGGCCTGGCTGAAGTGGGAGGCATTTTCTAATGGTTACGAGAACAAAGAGCAGGTTCAACACACGTGGACTAATGACACGTAGTTTAGACCTAAGAACTAAAATAGTGCAAAGTGGTGGTAAGATCTACTGGGTAATTAACGTGGAATGAGAGCAGGGCATTAACGTGGAAAGTGGTGGTGCCAGCTGGCTGCTCACCGTGAGTGAAAATGGAGACAATTTTGTTAAATCACCGTAAAAGAAAGTAAAAGGTTGCTTCTGGAGGGTGGCAGCTGGAAACAGACAGGCACTTGCAGGTGGTAGAAACTAAAAGCATGGTGTAAGTGAAGAGAAAGTAAGGCGTTTAACAGTGCTTCTGGACGGGAAGGGAGAAAGAGAGCAAAATCCCGATTACCCAGTCCCAACAGAGCCTCGCCATTTGGTGCAGAGATCACATCGATCGCCAAGTAAATTGTAGCCCTGTCTACACTGTCAGCTGACAAGGAAAGGGCCCCTAGCTGCAGTGTAGTAGATGACAGAGAACTATAGGACTCCAGCGGCGAGATAGGGAGTCCTGCCTTCGAGCCTGGATTTGTACTGGGTCATCAGAAAAAGTCATGACATGTTTTTCTTTTAAAGAATTACTTATTTATTTTAATTCTATTTGTTATTATTATTTAATTTGGCCAGAGAGAGAGAGACAGAGATAGAGAAAGGGAGAGGAAGAAAGCAAGCCACCAGGTCCGGGATTCGAACCGCAGTCAGCCATATGGGAGTCCAGCACCCTCAACCACCATGCCCAAATGCATCATGACTTTTCAGACCTAATATTTCCTCTGGGGAAAGGCAAAGAGAAAGCATGTTAGAAAGCTGTGCTCTTTTTAAAGATAAAAAGGCCAAGAATGCAAAGATCACAATGGTTCAGGATTCTCTTAATTCAGCCATGTCACCTGACATTGGGCTCAGTGGACTAGGCTACTGCTAAGTGAAGTTACACTGTTAAGCAGGCCTTTTCCTGCTTATTAGAGCACCTCAGCTTGGTTTATGTGAATGGCTTTCAGAAGGAAAGTGTAGAGGTTCCCTTTTCTCTGACCTTTTGCTTCTGAAAAGGCAAATCATTTCAAAGGGCACTTGTTGATGATTGAGCTCATTGAATTTATGGAAAGGTGGATTTGACTTTCCAGAGAGAGGCACACAGTAAAAACCAATTAGCAAACCATGACAATGAGGAGCAATTATGAGACATTTTTAGACATTTCATCTGAACCCAGGTAGAAGGAATCGTTTTACAACTCTGACGAAATAAGAGGTCTGCTTCAGCGATGCTTGACGAATTTCCCAGTGTTTAGGAGAGCAGAACAAGTCGATTGTTGCTACCGGTGTTGTTCTAGTTGCCCATAAAGCACATTCTCCAAGCTTTCGAAAGTGTCGTTGTCATAGACTGTGTCGTCAAGAACCATACTTCTTTTATCTATTGCTTAAAATTCAGCCTTAAAATCAAAGTGCTCTCTTTTAATACGAACAGTATGCTATTGTCCATATTTTCTTGCCTTTTTTCTTATTGTGTTTACTGCTTCGTTTTGCCTAGTAAAATTATCATCAGAAATCCAGAAGTTATATTGTTACTATAAAAACAGAAAGTGCCTGATGCATCATTTTAGGGAATACCAGAATAAAGACAAGACCACACAAGTCACAGCTTTTCTGAGTATTTGAATTACATTCAATCCAAGTAAAGCACAGACAACAGCTTTGCATAAAAATGCAATTGAAATAGATGCCTTTGTTACATGCTGTAGAATAACATGTCCGACATTTCAGATGTGGTAATTGAGAGGTAGGAAGGCTGCTTTTGTGAGCATATTACAGGAAAAGGGATTGCAGCACCTTTTCTTATAGGTTGGTTTCCTGATTGCCATTTCTGAACATAAATTGCTCTTTTAGCCATATGAATTATGGATTAAACTAAAACAGCAGTGTAGAAATCTGTAGGATGATTTTTTGATGATTAAGGGAGTATTAGCATTCTGCAGAAGCACAAAGGGAAAATATAAACCTATAGCAGTGACTTAAAAAAAAAAGGGTGAGAGGCTGGCCCTATAGCTTGGGAAACACACTGGATGTGCGTGCGTGTGTGTGTGTGTGTGTGTGTGTGTACATGTCCACAAATCCCAACATGATGGGGAACTAGACAACGTTGTCTCCAGCTACCACCAGCACCTCTTTATGCCAAAGACCTGCTCACTTTGAAAACCATGGGATTGACTGGCAGAAGGGTCTGGAATGTGGGAGGCTGAGCAGATGCACCAGCCCAAGGGGCCCTGGAGCTCAAGGGAACTGCTGGAGGCAACCACACGCAGGTGGCATGTTTGGGTAGCAGGTAGCCCAAGATTATCCTGGTGGAAGGTGCTGACTTGATGCAAGACTATTTCTTTTTGTTTGTTTGTTCTTTGTTTTATTTATTTTTTTGTTTTGGTTTGGTTTTTTGTTTGTTTGTTTGGTTTTTTTGAGAGGTTTTTGCTATAGGGCGCGTGCGCTCACCAGAAAGACAGAGAGAGATAGAGAGATGGAAAGTGAGAAATCACCCTCTGGGGGGATGGTCACTCCACAATCCGTTCTCCTCCATTCTCCTCTCAGGATCTTGGGCATGCACACACACACGCCCGGCGTGAGTTTAAGCCGCTGGGTCTCGGACTAGAACCTCAGTCGACTACATGGGAGTCCAGCGACGTAGCCATTACGCCAACTGCTGGTCCCGTTGCAATTTCTGAAGAAGCTTGTTTTTGGTACCATTAAATCAAATCACAGAACTACCTGTTTCAGTGATTCCTGTAGATCTGCCTGTAATTGGCATTATATATAACTATTCAGCTAATAGAGGAAAAGACTGAAAGAAGTAAACCAAAATAGTCACAGTGATCTCACTGGGGATAGAATTATGATTGGGTTTTATGTTTTACTTTATTTTCTATATATTTTCTAACCTGTTTTTATTATTACTACTTGAAGTTTTTGCTGAAAAAGTAGGTATTTCTACCCCCCCAAAAAAAGGAAAAGCGTTATCTCAAAATGCAGGCGGTCTTCTCATTTTGTCTTTTTAATCCATCAGATACTTCTAAACAAGGACAAGAGTGATGGTGATGGAGGGCACTTAAAAAATAATTAACGAACTAACAGTTAAAGGTGATCGATTTTTTTTTCCCCTCGAAGTAATAGATTTATTTTGCAACCAAAGTCAAGGTGGATTAAACTGATGAAAAGTTATTAACAATATTGATTAAAAACCTTCCACCTCGAAAGCCCTGTAATATATTACACACATCACCTAGTCTCCAGATTGTCACTGTGTATCGAAAGTCAGTTTCCAGGCCTCCGAGGGGACGTTTAGTCTAAGTGCTTTCGAAAGCAGAGCAGCTTCCTTCCGTCACACAGGTGGTGTTCTGATGATACATGAATATTTAAAACTGCATGTTTTTGTCTTACAGAGCTGTCTTGGTTCAACTGGTGCCTTCCCGGGTCATGTTTGCTCAGTCTCCTCCTCATTCTGTGCTTCAGGGAATCCTATGACAGACTCTATCTTGATGTGGTTGTCTCGGTTTAATAGCACAGACTTGACGGAGTTTAAAGGAAGACTGGGACTCAGTACCGCACACCGCACGTTTGCTTGGAATTGCACATCTAACAGAGATAAAAAGAGAAGAAAGGAACTTCATTCAGAGGTTTCCTTGGGTTACAGATATCACATTAATTGAATTACTACCAGGTAATTATAATGCAGGACGTGAGTGGTGATGGGGGTTTAAGCTCTGCAAGTGGCATGCCGTGCCTGATTCTGCGGTCACGAGTACGCCGTCTTACACACGAAGCACTACCTAAGTAATTCCCTCCGTGCTCTGTGCCCATGCTCAGCTACTGACCAACTGTAATTATGAAGGCAAGGGTGTCCTTCACTTGAAGATAACTCCCGACCTAAGTCATATCAGAATAGGAAGAAATGCCACTAACTTCTGGCAAAGTTTAAACCCCGTACCAGATTTTAATTCTAAAATAGCCAAGAGGTATATTGATGATAGAAATTAGCCACATGTACACTACTTTTTTCCCCCTAATAAAGCCATTTCTTATATGACTCCTTATTTTTAACCAGGCCCGAGCCTTTGGCTGTCTTTGTTATGGTGATCAAGTGCTCTCCAGTGACTTCAGAGCACAGGCACTGTGTCTCCAGCTCTCCGTCCCCTGTCTGTGAAATGCAGTTTCGTCTACTAGGCCCTTAAGTAATTATGTATTAAGGTGACTAAATGTGTGATACAGTCACATTAAATATTGTATGAAAAGTATAATTCTGCTATGATTTAGTACTTGGTTAAGAGTGAGATGACGCGTCACACAGAACCTGCCGTGTCTTCAGCCTAATGTGGTGGCCTGAGATATAAAGTCCAGTGCTGGTGTTATTTATTGGGGTTAGATTTTATTAAATGACCCTTGTTTGAAAAGAACAATTTGTATGACCTTAAAACCTTCAGATCCGTTGGGTGATTTCTGGATAGTGTTTCTGTATTTCAGTTGGGATTGTAAAATACTCAGTTCTATACAGAATCTGTGTATTTGAGAGGGCAGCCTTCACCCGTACCTGTTCTTTTTCTTTGGATGATAGCTTAAAAAAAAAAATTAACGGTTACTCATTGGATGGCTTGCGAACGTGTGTTCACCATGACCTCAGATGTGCTGCAGGAGATGGTGTCAGCACCGTTCACATTTACATAACTCCCCTGCTCAGAAAACATTTTCCCCAAGAATATCATTTTGCCTTTATTCTTAGCTTCTTCCAGCCCCCTCTGCTTTTTTTCTCTCTTGAAATTGTATCTTCATCGTCAGCTGAAGTTATCTTTTTCTGAACAGAGTGCAAGCCAGCTCCCACTAGCCCAGGTGGTAACGCCTGGCTAAGGGGAGCTGCTCAGCATCCACGTGTGTGCTCCCCTCACACACCCACGGATGAGCTCCCACACCTCTCCCTGCCCTCTTAGTAGATTCAAGCCTAGGCATTAACTCACCTTGGCCCTAGAGGGGATTCTAGTATGGCCTGACATCATTTAAAACCCTGAATTGGGAAACTAGGAAAGTAAGGACACTGTTTTTCTTTTTCTTTAAATGAGAGTGGACGTGTAGGAGGACAGGGAGATAGAGAGAGGTATTTTCTTAATAGGGTCTCACCATTGTGATCCTCTGCCCCAAACTTCAAGTTAGCTAAGAGTACAGGTGCACACCACCACTGACCTGTTCCAGGATTGAACCGGTTCCTCCTGTGTGTCCCAGTCACCTGCAGTGGTGCCCTACTGCTTATGCCATCACCGCTGGGCCAGGAACTCCAACTGAACGTCTGTCTTCAATCACCTTAAATCTCCCCCTGTGCGACCACCCTTAGCCTAGCTGCAGGGACCGAAGGAACTAAGAAACTTGCTAAGGAGAAGAAAACCTAGGAACGCTAGGCTCAGTTCCAATTAACTCTGTCATTCTTCTTACATCAAAATGAGATCAAAGAGAGGCAGGATGCTCACGGGCGATGGAGAACCAGCCACTCAGAATATAAGTAGACCATGACCCAGATGCTATAATAATGACCACCCTGTCCTGTTTAGAGAGCAGATAGAAAGGAGAGGGAAGAATTATGAAGTATTTGGTTTTAGTCAGAACTATTGTGTTTGAGGATGTTGCCATATGAAATTCTGCTGTAAGACTTATGGGGTAGAACATGTAAATTATTGGTAATTCCACTTTAACACAAAGTGAAGAATAGCACTTTAAAATTATTACCTAACTGACCTTAATTTGAAGATACCCTAAGTGGGTAGTGATTAAAAATTATCGCCTTGTGCTGGCCACCAACTCTTATTTTCAGCATACGCAAGAGGGGACAAGTCCCTCTAACTCGTTTGTATCCACTTACCCCTCCAGCAGGTAATCATTCTAATCACAAACTGCAGCTGTGTTAAGAGATCAAAATTTCACATACCAGACCTAAAAGGAAGGGAACCAAAAGGCTCAGGGGGAAGGAGAGGATTATACATTATTTACCTGAATATTGAAAATCATGTTTTCTTTGTTTTTATTTCTAACATGTATCAAAATAGACCAGCCCTTATCTTTATGCTTTCCAGACAAATATAGGATCCTAATGAAATTTGTAACTGAAAGAAATCTTAGCTAATACAAGACCTCATTTTAGAATTGATTGACATCATTTTAGAGAGGTGAGTACCTTGCCAAAGCTCACAACTCAGAAAGTGGCAAAAGTAGACCTTTTTCTCCCCCTACCTCACAGAATCGCAGCTTCATTTAAACCATTTTGGGTGTTCATGATTAGTCTTCCATGCTCAAATGTAATGGGTTTAAAGAGTAAGCTGCCATTATTGTATATGAGAAGGACAGGGATTAAATTGAGGTGATTGGCTTCTAAGTAAAATTATTGCGTTGTCTTCATCACTATCCTATAGGTGCTCGAACATTTCTTAAGCCTTAGCTTGCAGTGACATCATGCCGAAAGATTCCAGTCGGCACAGCCGTGGTGCCTCAAGCAATCAGGCACCTCCACGCAAGGCTGGGGTCCACAGGAGGCCCAGGTTCAGATCCCACACCAGCCTAAACAACCCTGGTGCCTGAGTGCATGCCTGTGATCTGGAGAGATGGGAGCCCGGGGTGGAGGACTACAGTGTGAGACTCCATAGGAACATCTCTCTCTCATTTTCTCTCTCTCTGTTCTCCCTCCTGCTTACTCCTTCATTTAAAAAAAAAAAAAAAAAAAGATTCTGATGAATAATTCAATCTTCGTAAACCAAGTCAGCAACATTATTAATTGGTAAGGACACGTTACAGTGTAAGTTCCCTGTGGCCTATCATTAATGCTTCACAGTTTATGGAAAGAAGTGGTTTTAATATGATCCAAGGTGGAAGTAGTAATGAGACATACACACTTGCATTTCACTGGAGTGTGGAGCTAATAAAATAACAAGAGGGAATCAAATACCAGTGTAATTTTGTATATTTAAGCATATATGGCCTAAGGGCCAAGTTTTATCATGGATCATATATTCACGTTTAATTATTGAGAATGTTTACAGCTTGTTTTTATGAACTCCTTCTAATGAGGGATCCAACTAAGGGATTTTAAATGGAAGACATTAAATCCCCATCTATTTATCTTTTAATTAGGTTTTTTTTTTTTTACTATTATTTTTACTAAAATCTAGGCATTCATCTTGCTGTTTGCATAAGTACAAGCTTCATTTTAAACTTAAGATCGAATAAGAATGCATAGGCAATTTGCTTTAAATTAATGTTAAATCACATTAATTTCACATTTGTTCCAGAAATAATGAGTACAGGAATTACTATGATTAGACCATATTATCAAGCAAACACAAAAAGCTATGATATGAAGAAAAAAGAAATATGAAAACTTCACGAACACATGATCAGACCTATGTTATAAATATAGAAAAAGTACAATTTCACTTCAATTTGGGATTATAACCATACAGAAGAGGACAAGATGAAGTTTCTTTATTTTTCAACAGAGATTTTTACTATAGGATGCTTGTGCTCGCTGGTGAGACAGAGAGAGACAGAAAGCAAGAAAAATTACCGCCAGGGGGTGATGGCCATGCCATGGAATCCTTATCCTCCATTCTCCTCTTGGAATTTTGGGCATGCATGCACATGTGCCTGGCATGAGTTTTAAGCCTCTGGGTCCGGGACTTGAACCATGGTCAACTACGTGAAAGTCCAGCAACATAACCATTATGCCATCTCCTGGTCCCAAGATGAAGTTTTTTCCTATACTGTGCAACAGCTTGCTGTTCTGTGGGTAAATACAAGCAGTATATAAGGGGGAAAGTGTTGACTACCCTTGAAGAACAGAACTTCACAGTGGAATACTGGGATACTGTTCTCACAGTAAGCCTTGGTTATTCCATGCTCAGCGAGGTGAGCTGTCTGTACACTAAGCAGACATCATCTTGGCCATAATGAGCACTCATTTCCTCCCTGGGGTCCTCCATGCTCGGATGGAGCCTCCAGCTTAGGAGATGACTAGGACCTATTGCCAAGGCCCTTAGAGACCTCTGAGGATGTCGCCTCTGACTGGGGAAGTGAGAGTGATAGAAGCTAAGGCAGAGAGTAGACAGTGACTTAGACCCGAATCTCTCCAGTTTAAGTTTGCTCTTGGTTAAGACCAAAATACCACTATCCTCTCTTCTGTTTTTTTGAGGCTCTGACTCACCCTTACTGCCTAGTACCTCAACTTTCTGAACCCCTGGGTTACGCTGACCTCAGACTTTCTTCCTTGAACTGACTTCTTGGCCCAGGCTCTTCACCCTCAATCCTTCCCAGGCTCCCAGCCAGAAGATCCAGTGTCATTACTGACCAGTAAATGAGGCCATGTGCGTCGGCTTCCGTCTCCTGACCAGGACACTAGCCAGCATGGCCAGGACATAACTAACTCTGGGTACTCCTGAAAGATTTAACAATTCTTCTCACAGTCTTAGAAATTAGAACATGTCTCTGAAACAGTCATTTAAAGCTCCCTAACGAGTTTCTATAGTTAGTGTTTGTTGCAGCTTTAGAATATGGGAGAATTGCTTTATACGTTCTTTCTATTGTGCCTTGGAGACCGTGGTGGGCCACAATGGCTTTCCATCTCTCTGAGCCCAGTCTCAAGAAGAGAGAGCAAAAAGTTATCCCATCCCTACCTGTGGACTCAGCAAAGAGTAATTAAAATTTTAAAAATACAGCAAAAAAAGAAACCAAGGGCCGGCTGGTGGCATGATGGTTCAACAGCTGGATTCCACATGGCTGACTCTATGGTTTGTGTTCTAGACCCAGCAGTTTGGGCAGGTGTGCCCAAAATCCCAAGAGGAGAATTGGAGAGAAAAGATTGTGCCTTTTCTGGGTGGTGCTTTGTCACCATCTCCCTCCCTCTGTCTCTCTCCAGTGAGCATGTGCATTCTGTAACAAGTTAAAAAAGAAAAAGCATAGAATTGGTTTCAGCAAGTTCGATACAACAATAAAACACATCAAACCATTTTAGCTCTAAACATTCTGGACTTGGTACACCCAAGGCATGAAGCTCCAATGGGGATTCCAGAAAGTCAGCCTGAACATCTCAGTTCTCTTCGGGCTCCCTCCAGCAGACACAGCAGTGCTTCCTCTGAGTTATAGAGGAGGCCTCAGTTCTGAGCAAAATGGCAAGGATGACTCAGAGACACTGTAGTTTCCCTCGATGTTAGAAAATGATACCTCTTTTAAACTGTTTAATTTAGACTTTTTCTAATTCTCATTGGCTTTCTTCCCATGTTCTCAGAATGATTATAAAATCAAGGAAATTACCTAATCCAACCACCTCATTTTACAGATAACTACAGAGGACCTTCAGGTCAAACAACACAGCTAGATTTTAGCAGGTTACCTGATTCCTAGACTAGCATTAATTTTCAGTAAGTGATCTGTGCTAAGCAGAAAGAATCATTTTCATTTTTT